CCACCCACAGACAAACTCAAAAGACCCCACTGGACCAGAATCCTGGTTCCCTACCACCGGGGCCAGTTGAGTGTCCTCCACTGGGAGTCGCGCCCATTCCTCATATTGCTGCGTAAACTGCCGCATCAGAGCCGGAAGTCCATACTGTTTGCCCTCAAACACCACCCAGTTGCGGGACTTCCAAATCCGCCAGAGGACCGCAACAATGGCCATCCACAGCGGTGGCTACTGAACTAATGCCAGCAGCTTCTTAAGGAACAGAGGAAAAGTGTGTCGTGGCAAGCCCACCCCAAGGTGTTCCAATCCTGCTGACCCCCCCAAGGCACGCGCCACCGGACAATCCAAAAATAAATGCTCCATGGTTTCAGGGCCTTCCCAACAGACTGGGCACCGAGAAAGGATCGGGATATGACGACTAATGAGTGCTTCAGTGGTAGGCAAGATCCGCTGAAAATCTACCAAACAAACACCTTTAACTTAGGCGGAATGTTGGCCTCCCACAGTCGTATCCAACTTTCCCTATCCATCCAATCCACCGACGCCTTCCAACGGCCCCTCCTTTTCTCCAAAGAGACAGCCAGATGGTACGCTGATTTAACCGAGAACTCCCCATCCGCTGTATCATGACAAATTAGCCTATCCTCCACATTGTCCCGCAGGACAAGGATGGCTTTTAAAATACGGCACGTTGCAGGATGAAACCACTGATTAAGCTTTTGATCACACCAGCGCCCCTCCCTTTGACAAATTAGTTCCTCCACTAGTGGGTCACCACCATCCGGTAGAACCTGAGGATTATAGCGCAAGGCTCAATTTGGAAACCACGGACCCAGGTAGAGTGAAGCATGGATGCCGAGCGCCCATTTCCAACCTGCCATCGTAAACCCATCTCTAATAATTGCCGACCAAACAGGATACTCTGCCAGCCCCACGATGGTCTAGACCGAGCTTTAGCATTTAGGAAATGTCCATTAGGGAAATATTTACCTTGATAGAGTTGGGCAAGCAGGGAGTGGGGTTCACTAAGGACACACCAATCAATTTTAGCTAAGAGCTTCTGATTAAAATGCTAAAACCGGCGAAATCCCATCCCCCATCATGCTTACTCCTACACGTGTCCCACCAGGACATCCACCGCACCTTCGGATGGCCTTCATTCTCACCCCACCAAAAACGGGCAACATGCTTGTCTAATAGACGGAACAGGGACAAAGGTAGCTTGAAATAGGACATCACATGCAATGGCAAAGCCAGAGAAATAGACTTGATGAGGGTTTCCTTGGCTGCCCATGAAAGCGCCCTCTGCTTCCAACCCTGGAGTCTCTCCAACAGTTTGGTTTCCAAGTAGTGGAAAGTCTCCATCTTGGACCTGGCAATCAGAGACGGGAGACCCAGATATTTATCATGGACGCCAACGGCCCCAACCCCCAGAACTGCCGCCAAGAATTCTTGGTCCTGTTGGACTATATTCCTACTAAAGCAAACCGCCGATTTAGCTAGATTCAGCCTCTGGCCACTCAATTCCTCTTATTCATTCAAGACCTCAATAAGGTTTTCACATTCCTGAAGCGTGCCTCGCAGGAACAAATAGGAGTCATCCGCAAAAAATAAATGCGACAGTCTTGGGGCACGTTGGGCCACTTTAGGGGTCGTTTGCTTCATGGATTTAAAAATGAGGGTCTTGTAATTTAAAAACCCTAGGATTTATCAAGGATTTGAGGCATCATGGATTTGTAATAATCCTTTGTTTGTTGGGATGTTTTTATCATGGATTTAAAGGTGTGGGATTTACTACTTGAAGTCAAAAATTACATTACTGTCCTTTTCTATATGTTTGACATGTTCATGATATGTACACAAAACAAGGACAAAACTTCAAAATTACCTTACTATCATTTTTTATATGTTTGACATGTTTATGATATGTACACAAAATAAGGACAATACATACTAATAAGCATAATGTTGCCACATGGACAATAATAATAAACGAGAAAATTCCGTTTTAACTTTTAACGTAACATAATCAATTACCAATTCTTTGTCCTCCTTTTCAAAAGTAACATATAACAACATATATTAGAATCGGGAGAACAAAGAATTACACGTTCCATGAAAAGGTCAAAGAAAACTAGAACACAAGAAATGATATAAAAAATCTAACTCATGTTTGCACATTAATTGAACGTTTATATTATTCATTTATAGTTAATTATAATGTATAATAGTTAAATTTGAGGGCAACCTTGGAATAATAAAAGTGCGTGAGGGTATATGGGTAAAATGTCATCAAGGATTTATGTCATATTCCAAATCCCACATCAACAAGTGGGATTTACAAGTCCGTGGGGACCACAGATTTGGATCCTTAAAATCCGTGGGCCCCACGGATTTGGTCTCCAAAAAAGGTGCAAGCAAACAACGGATTGTACCTAAATCCATGATAGTTGGTTTTTTGGTACCAAATCCTTGAAGCAAACGACCCCTTAATCCAGGCAGTTTTCTCTGATATCGCCTTCCGGAGAAGAGCCGCAAACCCCTCAGTGCAAAGCACAAAAAGGAGAGGAGACAAAGGATCCCCCTGGCGCAATCCTCTGGAGGGAGAAAAGTAGCCAGACGGGGTGCCATTCATCATAACAGAAAATGATGCGGAACTGAGGCACTCCTTGATCCATCATACCCAAACAGAGCTAAACCCCAATTTTTCCAAAACCGCAAGAAGAAAAGGCCATTCGACTCTATCATAGGCCTTTTCCATGTCCTTTAGGGCCATGAACCCTTTCTTCCCCCGAGTTTCGGTTTTTAGGTAATGCATGAGCTCATGCCCAAGTAAGATATTGTCCACAGTTTGACGCTCCCTTATAAAACCATTCTAACCTTCCGAGACCACATGAGGTAGGACATTGGCCAACCGCTCTGCCAAAATTTTGGTTATAATTTTGTAAACAAATTGGCATTAACTGATGCCAATTTTAGGAATTAATGTGAGCCAAGTGTTGTTGAAACTGCGGAGCAGTCGGCCAGAAGTGAAAAACAAGTAAACTGCGTCAATTATCGAGGGCCCCACAATATCCCAGAAGGCCTTGAAAATTTTTCCCGTGAAGCCGTCTGACCTAGGGGCTTGCTTTGAACCCACAGCAAACACAGTTTTGCGTACCTCCTCTGGGATCATGGCAATCGTCAAAGCCTCATTCATTACTGGGGTAACACTTTGGGCAATGGGCAGATCCTGTATCCGGCTATGCATATTTCGGACCTGGTTTTCGGATGTGAAAAGGATATGATACAACTTTGTACCAATACCTGCTTTACCTTTCTCATCCGTGATCCACTCACCATCATCGGCCTGGAGCCCACTCACAAAATTCCGTTTCCGTTGAGTCCTTGTCACTGTATGGAAATACGATGATTTTTTGTCCCCCTTTTTGAGCCAACGGACCCTGGATTTTCGCTGCCAGTACTCTTCCTCCGCCTCCCATTGCCTAGTTAACTCAATCTCAAGGCAACGGACCTCATCCCAGTCAATGGGATGGATTTGTTTGATTCGATCAATTTCTGCCTGCAGAGTCTTGATATTTCACAAAGAATTTGTCGTTCCTGCTATGCTCCAATCATACAGCAAATGACATAGTTTCTTGAGACGTTCCCATAGTCGAAACATGGGGGTTCCTTGGACCTCTTCTTGCCAGACATAAGTCACCATGGCTCTAACTTCCGGATTATCCGCCCATCGAGCATCAAACCTGAATAGCGGGCGACTATTACGGACATAAGGTTTATCAGATAGCAGGAGCGCCCAATGATCCGATCCCTGGTCCATAAAGTGTTTCACCAGGGTATCAGGGAATCGATCCAGCCAGGTCTGGGAGCAAAGAGCTCTGTCCAAGCGTTCATGGATACATGCAACTCCCATCCGTTTGTTCATCCAGGTAAATGGATCCCCCTGGTACCCCGGATCAATGAGGCCCATGTCATGGATAAAATCACGTAGGCCAAGCGAGTGAAGAGCATTCCATTGGTTACCCCCGTCTTTCTCACTCTCGTGCAGAGTAGTATTAAAGTCACCTATAATAACATAGGGACTAGAGACACCACCGCATATATCGCGCAATTGTTCGAGCTGGGTCGCTCTTATAGCAACATGACAACTAATGTAAACAAAGATCACCACATACGAAACGTTCATTTCATTAACTTGAACAAAAATACAATATTCCGAATGAAAGAACACCGACGCATCAACTCCGGGGGATCAAGCCACAACCAAACCACCTGATGCATCAACCGCATCAACAAAAAAACAACAAGAAGAGAGAAAACCTAGGCCCCGCAAACGCCGAGCAACTACTTTCTGTCTCGATCGTGTTTCAGAAAAAAAAACACGAGATCCGGTTTATTAGAATGAATAAACCAACAGGTGTTTGGAATGTGAGGGATGGTCCAATTCCTCTTACATTCCAGGCCAGTAGCCTCATTTATCCGCGTGGGCCATTCCAGGCTGGCTTCCTCCACCTTTTCAGCTTCGTCCTTGTCTTCCACAAATTGTTTTTTGGGGGTCGGGGTCTCCGCAACCTCCCCAGCTATCTCATCCAAATGACGTTTCTTATTGCCCGTCTCCTTCTCAATAATATTAGAGCCATATTCATCAATTGCGATACCCGTCGCAGTACCCCCATTGTGATTCAGTTGCGTGGCCATGGGCGGCTCGACTTCAGTCATGGGCATCCCATTTTCAAAGGCTTGAACCACTTGGTTCACCCGGTTTGATCGGGCCAACCGTTTAAGGCTCTCATTCCCCTGAGGAAACCGTCGCCGAACTTCAAATATTGGACACTTATCTTCTGATGTCATTTCAGCCAATTCCCAGGACTCAAAATTTGGAATCAATTTTTCCACCCCTTTCAGATCCAACTCCGGCTCTTTGCCTTTCATCTTCCTTATCTCCCCCTTCGGCGGCTGTTTCTGCTTCTCCGCCACTTTCCCTTTGCCTCCCGAGCCTGTCACCCGAGTCTTCCTAGATTGGATAAGCGATTCCCGGGGGAGGTGGCGTAATCCAACTTATTTTCAGAAGGGCAGCGCCGATAAGGTACCCCAACTTTAGTCGAGTCATTCGATTGCATGGGGGAGGGAATTTCACCGAGTATGAACTCATCTGATTCTTGCTCCAGGATCAGCCTCCGATGTCTCGGCCACCCTTCAGCTACTTTTTTGGGAACCCACGAGGCGCTGGGAACAGGTGAGATACCTCGCTGTCGATTAGCAGACCTAGCTTTCCTCCAAGCCACATCGATCGAGGCATCAACAGCCACCACTCGGGCCCGTTTTGTCCGACCGGCCTCTAGGTGAGGCTTGATTGGGCCATCCACCTCCATTGGGCTCGGGTAGGGCCCTTTCCTAGACTTACCACGGCGAGACGATTTCCCTAGGGCAAGCTTGGGCCCTTTCGCCACCGAGAAACGAAATGGGCTTCGTCCTTGGGAATTACGGGCTTCAGTGGTGGCAAACGAATTTTAGGATGACCCCATCCACAACGGTTTCTCCAAAGCTACTTCAGGCCCAGGCTTTGTGAAGCTCGGCTCCATGCCCGTCCCTGAGTATTTTGGCCCACGAGCCTCCTTGTTGACCCACACAGACTTTGGGAGCCAACGAGCTTGATGCCGAGCTTCATCACCATCGAACACCTTCCTCCCCATCTCATTATTCGACATATGGGGGCGAAACCGCTCCTTCCTTGTTGGGGGATCAAAATTGCATGTCTGACGAGCATGTCCCACACGTCCGCAATTAAAGCAGAAGCTAGGAAGGAATTCATATTTAAATCGAATCCAAAAACCACCAGTCTCGTCATTTGTTGCCATGATTTGAGACCGTAGCGGCTTGGAAAAATCAACTAGGGACTTCACTTTGACAAACTTCCGACCCGTGTCAGCACTGGAGAAGAAACCAGCTTCCAAAACACGCCTTATCGTGGAATTTACTATTTTCTGCCCAAATTGGTGTGTACAGCAGTCTTCCTGGACATCCCATAGCTGGACGCGGAATGGGACGATCACGAGCTCCTCAAAAATGCGATGGGAAACTGAGAGAACCCATGCCCTCAAATGCAAAATCTTGTCTGCAATGATCCATGGGGTTCGCTGTAGAACCCATGTTTTGGATGGCTCCGGCGGGAGAGTGAACTCAACAAGATCATGTGGCAGTTTACGCACAATGATACGTCATTGACCTTGCTATGGCCGATTCACCGCATCCCTCAGCTTGGCAGTTGAGAGCCGATTATCAGAGAAGAGACGACCAATAAGCATTCTTGATTTGCGAACGCGAGTAGCTTGGATCTCCTCAAGGGAGAACTCCACCACTTGATCATTAGTGATTCGTGCCATGGGTACCAACTGCAAAGGTAGTGAGTCACAAGGATTGTTGGAGGAAAACCCAACTATTCCCCCTATCTACCATGGGAAGCTCCAGCATATGGAGCCGATGTTAAGCACGGCAATGGCATCACACCAAATACGAAAATGGGCCTCAGCAGGGGATAGAAGCCACTTACCGGAGATTTTACATGCCTCACACTGTGCTATGTTGCGCTGCCGGCCCGCTTGTTCGGCAGTTTGCTGAGAACGCTTGGGAATCAAAGGGTCGGACGAGTCTCTTAAATAACACAGTGTTGGCTGGAGTGCTACCGGCCGAGACAGGCCTAGTTGGGTTAGGAGTCTAAGATTGCGATTTTTAAAATCTGTTTGCTTAGATATCCCTCCGCCTTTCGCGATACGCTGGCGATTAGGATTTGCGCTTCCCAGATGAGAGGATATGGTTTCCTTTAGGTCATTGAGAGTCCGACCCCAATTAGGTTTGTCGAGTTGGAGCGGTCGCTAGCACAAGCCTGGCCAGGAGGAACTTACTGGACGGGATCCGGTCGAACCAACTTTTAGTATTCCACCATCTCGTAGTGCCCCAGGCTTCGCCCCATTCCGGGATCTGAATCCTGATGCCGCCGTTTCGTTCTGCACGGCAGGTGTTGTTGCCGTTCCCGGTTTATCACAAGACACACGATCCGTTCCCTCGTCCCCATCGATCTCTAAGGACGACGGGAGCTTGAAACGCCACGCCTGCATACCGATCGACCTCGCCCCATCCTGGGATCTGAGTTCATTCTGATCAGGGTATTCAATAACATTTTCTTTCTCAGTATGGCTTCTCGAATTCAATGTAGGAACCTCCCACGCCATTCCTTCTATCTCACCAGGAGAAGGGAGGCGGAAACGCCACCCCGGCAGTTTACAGCGCCGAGCTCGTTTATTCTTATGGCTGGTCTGTAGTGGGTCCATAACTAGACTTCTTCTCCGTTTGACGAGGCCATGGTCCCTATCACATTTTTCCGTCCAGTTGCCGGTACGCATCCTTGAGGCTTGAGCCTCATTCTTCCTTTGCCGATGGTGAGCATCACAATTCGTAGCTCTGGGATTAGGCTGTTGATCATGGCCTTGTGTAGAAAGGAGATGCCCGATCCAACGTAAATATTGCAAGCCCTGGTTAGTAAGCGCCACCTCCAAAGCAAGGCCTACCAATCGGGCGATTGATCCTCCGGCAGTCGCAAGGAGAAACCAGATCGTCGACCAAACAAGTTTGAGGAGAGAGGAGAGAGCTCCTCGGTCCATTTTTATTTTATTTTTGTTGATATGGTTTAGCAACGAAATTTCAGACTTTTACCTAGTTTATTCGCAAGGATATCTATGAAAAAGCAAGCATTTGAAAAAAAATTCATTTAAACTCAAACTTTGGGAAATAGAATTAGGGCACTACCCCGTGCACCCCAAAACCAATGGCCGATAAAACATTTAATGAATAGTTGATTGTATGTCGATCTGGTTATGGAACTAATTTTCTATGGAATTTTTTCAGAAATAGCACTGTTTAAATAAAATTACAAAAATACCATCCAACCCCAAAAAATTCAAAAAATACCATCATTTATCAAAAACCGCTGGGTGGGGCACAGTTTTTTATGCAAATTGCTAGGCTATGGGGCGGTTATAAAAACTGATGGTTGGGGCGGCGGTTTTGGGCCAAACCACCACCCCACCCAGCGGTTTTGGTCCATTTTTTTCCCCGATCAACTCCTAACTTCGGCTGAAACTTCAAACTGAATTAACCATGGAGGTTTTTGCTACGATCGGATACACGAGTGCAAAGTTACGTTCGTTTGAAGTTTCGGCCGAAGTTAGGAGTTGATCGGAAAAAAAAATTGGACCAAAACCGCTGGGTGGGGTGGCGGTTTGGCCCAAAACCGCCGCCCCACCCAGCGGTTTTTATAACCTCCCCGTAGCCCAGCAATTTTCGTCAAAAACCGCGCCCCCACCCAGCGGTTTTTGTGTAAACCGCAGAGTGAGGGCGCAATTTTTGAAAAAGGGTGATATTTTTGAAATTTTTTGGGTTTGGATGATATTTTTGCAAAAAAAAAAAAAAAAATTTAAGCAGTGGTACTTTTGGATTTTTTCCATTTTCTGTCTTGTGGAAATTCCAACCACTTTTTGTGCTCCCCCTTCTCCGTTTTCATTCTTGCTTCTCCTACTATTGGCCAATCTTCAATAGATACTCCAATCCATCTACGGACACATGCTCATCGAACGAGCTATGGAAGTTCCATAATCGATGGATAGATATAATGTCATTTTATTTACAAAATTGCAATCGTACGCGCTTGTCAGTGCGTTTTTAGTGTGACCATCAGGTTGGTCGCGAGGTTTGACGCTTTGAGAATAAGTGTGTGTATCGTACGTACTAAAGTATAGAACCTGTCAACTAAAGTTACACGCCACGACGGAGCTATCATTACGAGCTGAATTAGAGAGGTGCGATACGAACTCTAAACTACCAACCATATACCTACTGTGGGTGTAAATAATGGAGTTCAACTTTTTTACTTAAATGTGGGTATGCAAGGAATGGAAATGGTCAAAACCTCCCTTCCCAATCCCAACTTCCTATTGCTTTTCCTCTTTGTCTTTTGATAAAGGTTCTTAGCTTCCTACTGAATTAACCATGGGGGACGAAATCTTAGTTCCCGGTTATAGAAAATTTCGAGTCTTAGCTTTGTGTAGGGTACGACGTCGCATGCCTTCTTTTGCTTGCATGTAGACATGTAGTACGTTCTTGTTTGTCAGAACAAGTGTACAAGCCGTTGGGATTGGTTTCCGTGAACGCGTATGCGTTCGTCAACCTTGGCTGCCGCTAGTACAAAATTCGTGTACGCATTGGCTTATTTATGTAAGTTTTTTGGGTTGATATCCTAGTTTGGTCTGAAGATTAGTCTAAGTGGCGGACCCAGAAATTACAGCAAGGGTATTCAACGATAAACCAAAACTAACAAGGGTTGTTAAATTGTCTCGTGCTCAAATACTATCACCACTAAAATAAAATTTTGTGCCTTCAAGTACTTCAAGGATTCATGATTAGTGTGGATCACGAACTCCTTAGGCCAGAGGTAGTGCTGTCACGTTTCTAAAGCTCGAACAAGAGCATAAAGCTCTTTGTCATACGTGGGATAGTTCAAGGCAGCCCCACTCAACCTTTTGCTATAAAAAGTGATTGACCTCTTCTCCTGCATCAAAACAGCACCTATGCCTACACTAGAGGCATCACACTCGATCTCGAATGTTTTAGAAAAGTTAGGCAACATCAGCAAGGGAGCATGGGTTAGTTTATATTTCAAAACTCAAAAGCTTTCTATTGAGCTTCACCCCCATTGAAATGTCATGTTCTTCTTAATTGTTGTAGTAAAAGGAGCAGCAATGGTGTTGTAATCCTTTACAAACCGTCGATAAATTCCTACAAGACCATGAAAACTTCGAACCTCATTCATATTAGTTGGGATGGGTCATGCTTTAATTGCCTCAATCTTTTCCTCATCCACCTCAATTCCCTTCGAGCTCACCACAAATCCCAGAAACACAAGTCTATCAGTGCAAAATATGCGTTTCTTGAGATTACCATACAATTGCTCCTTTCGAAGAGCCTTCGAAACAGCTTTAAGGTGATTCACGTGGTCATCTAAGTTCTTGGAATAAATCAGAATATCATCAAAATAGACTACCACGAATTTTTCAATAAAAGCTCTCAAAACATGGTTCATTATCTCATAAAAGTGCTAGGCGCGTTAGTTAAACCGAAAGGCATAACCAACCACTCATATAAATCATGTTTCATTTAAAGGCTGTTTTCCATTCATCACCTTCTTTCATTCGAATTTGATGGTATTCAAATTTAAGATCTATCTTAGAAAATACACTAGAACCATGCAATTCATCCAACATATCATCCAATCTAGGAATAGGATGTCGATACTTTACCGTGATGTTGTTGATGGCTCGATAATCAACGTACGTACGCCAATTCTGATCCTTTTTTGGTACGAGGATGATAGGTACAACACAAGGACTTATGCTCTCTCGAACTTGGCCCTTCTCCATCAACTCGTTCACCTGTCGTTGGAGCTCTTTGGTTTCCTCCAGATTGGTTCGATACGCTGGTTTGTTTGGAATTGAAGCACCAGGAACGAAATCGATCTGGTGCTTGATCCCTCTGATCGGCAGCAGCCCCTTGAGAGCTTCCTCAGGGAAGACATCCTCGAATTCATACAAAACAAGCTCAACACTACTAGGCAAAGCCTAAAGTTCATTAGAGCTAAAAAGTGTCTCCTTGTAAAGGAGCATGATCATTGGCTCCTTGGTGTTCAAAGCTTGCTTAATCGCACTTCCACTCGCAAAGAAATTCTCTCTTCTCACCGGAGCTTCAGTCGTTGTTCTTTTCTTTTCGATGTTGAGATTTCAGTTTTCCTCTCGTGGCTGACTCAATAGGGTGGGTTCTCTTGAAATTTCTCTTTTTTTTTCTATCAACTCGAGTTTTTGCTCCCTCTCTTGCTCACAGATTTGTTGCAGCTGCACTTGGTCTTCATAGACCTCCTTGGCATTCATTGGCACCAAGGTATGTGCCCGCCCCTTGCAGGACAGAGTGTACTTGTTGGTTCTGCCATCATGTTTGGCAGCTCTATCGAATTGCCACAGACGTCCCAGTAGGATGTGAGCAGCTTGCATAGGCACCACATCACAGAGCACCTCATCATTGTATTTCCCAATCTCAAAGCTTAGGAGTACCTAGTGTGTCACCTTAACGGCTCCATCCTCATTTAGCCACTACAATGTGTAGGGGTGTGGATGCTTGATGGTCTTTAATTCTTGCTTCGCCACCATGTGAGAGCTAACAACGTTGGTGCAGCTTCCACCATCTATGACCATCAAGAATAGCCTCCCATTGACCAAGCAGCGGGTATGGAACAGGTTTTCCCGTTGCTCAATCTCTTATCTTTGTTGAAATTTTAGAAGTCTCCAAGCTACACATGTGTAGCTGCTTTGCACAGGCTGCTTCTCAGCTTCTTCTTCCTCCTCTTCACTCTCGACCTCTCCATCTTCAGGATCGAACTCATACTCACCATTCTCCAGTAAGATCATCACCCGCTTGTTCAAACATTGATTTGCCACATGAACTCAACCTTGGCATCCATAACACACAATAAAACTCGAACGTGTGTTAGTAGATGCCTTCTCTCCAGTATTGGTGGCAACTGGCTTGGGCACTGGCTTAGGGTCCTCCTTCTTCACGAATGGGGCTCGCAGAGCACTCGTGCATGGTGCCACCCTCCTCTCATAGCCTCCCTTCTGTTGCTTCTCGACCTTAGTCTCCATCTGCACCAAATCCTCAATCTTCACATAGTGGTGAATCTCCACGACCTGCCTAATCTCCCGATTGAGACCACTGAGAAATCGATCCATGGTTACTTCTCGATCTTCATTGACGCGAGCTCGAATCATCAATGTCTCCATCTCTTTAAAATTTTCCTCCACGCTCTTCGCACCCTGTCTCAACAAGTGAAGAGCTTGATGCAGATCCCGTTGATGATGAATGGGTACGAATCTCCGCCTCATGGTTTCCTTCATTTGATGCCATGTCTTGATGGGATAATCCCCGTGTAATCTCTGTTCATCTCCCAGATGGTCCCACTAAACAATGGCATAGTCTGAAAACTCAAGAGCAACAACGATTACCTTCTTCCTTTCGAAGTAGTCGTGGCACTCAAAAAAGTACTCCATCTTTCTCTCCTAGTCTGGGATTTTTGGGACCCTGAGGTCGGCCTCGCCTTCCACCCAGTGGCGGTGGTTGAAAATCATTGTCGTCCTCCTCGGGGGGAGGGGGGGGGGGGAGGGAGGTTTATAGCTTGGGTCATTTCATCAAGGCGAGTGTTAATCTGATCCCTCTTGGCCTTGCATCATCCGGGTAAGGCATCCCATAAGAGCATCCATGGGAGCTTGTGGAATGTCATCCAAGTTATGAAATTCCTTATTGTTGCGAATTTCTCCTTCTCCTGACATTTATTTCAGAACCTCGAAACAAGAAGTTATCTGTCAATGCTTAAAGTTTCAGATTAGTGGTACAAATAAAAAGGAGCTCACAAGTCACTCCATCACGTGTTTCACTCGTTTGTAGATAACTCTTTTTCTTACCACTCATGTTTCAATAAAAAATGGCTTTTACTCGATATTGAACTCACAAAGCCTTTTTCCACTCGCTCTTAGAAACCCTAGACGAGCTTGTTAGTCCGCAA